GCTATAAGCATGCGCCCCCTTTTGTTGTCAAATTTAAGAATAGTATAGACTTGAACTCTCGTTGTGCATTTGGTGATTTTGTGTTCCAAAACTATCCGAGGTATAGGCTTTTTACTATAGTTGTTTTCACTGAAAGTTAGAAGTATTAAACCTATAGACTTTAAACGAGTACAAAGAGGTCACGTGGTCGGTCAAATTGGCCAAGCTCTTGTTGAGAAAATTCATGTGAGAAATCTGTATACTAACATGCAAATGATTATGCAGCAACCCACCACCAATAGGAGTGCAACACTACCCTTATCGTAACTAGCACTCTCTCTCATTTTTCAGCTCTTAATCACTTTGAGATTGAGTAGATCAAGCCAAACCACACTGGAAGTGAGGAGGATGGGTGGGAAATGTGAACAGTTACCCCAAAGACTAGCTGAAGTCAACGAAAGTAATTTTATTGCATCTTCGTACACATTAAATTGGGTGACGTTAACAGACCTAACATATTTGTTGTAATCAAATGTGTTTTTTCATTTCTTGTACTTTACTGGGTATGTACTTACTGATTGATGTAGTTTCAGGTTTAGCAATTTGTAAACGTCTTAAAGGGTTTACATTACCGTGTTCTACAACACTCCTGATTGCAACATTTTGTCCTGAGCTGTGCTGTTTTGAGATGTCCTTTTCTGTTATCTAATGTGTCTTAATTACTTTCAGCACTTAGTGATAACCGCCCTATTTTTAGGTAAGTATTTAAGCTTTTCAAATTTAGTTATGGAGATTTTGGGATTCTCAGATTACCATAGCTGATTTTTTATACTCAATAACTTGAATAAGGCAGTAAAATTTCATCACTTTCGCGTGATCACTAAACCTTTCGTACGATAAGGTTAGTCACGGAGACATCTCTTCACTCGGCTATCATTTAAACGCGTTTATTCTCAGTTAATTATTAGAGCATTCACGCTCTTGGGTATATAATGAAGAATCACTAGCCTCGGGAGTTGTTATGTATTTCTACCTTCATGTAGACATTGAATTATGCTTGCTTTAAGGCAACCATTGAGTCTTTCTGCCATCAGATAAGACATATTCAATTTTGTAATTGTCACTGAAATAACTTTACTCTCACTCTCAGGCGGTCAGTGAGGCGTTCTTACCCTCAGCCTATGAAGCCTTTCTTTGCTCTTCAACATTAGTTGTAACTTTCTTACTCTCATTTATTAAAGAACTTCAACGTTTACAAAGTTCTCTACCCTCAAGATTGTAATTAAAGGATTCCTACCCATAACAGATTAATGAATCATTCCCACTTTTGTATTATTCAACAGAGCCTTACTACATTCATGTGAGTAATAAAATATTTATTCTGTTCAGGTAGCCATTGAATTATTGTTAATTTTAGGTTGTAAAAAACTGTAATTGGTGAATTGTGAAAAATAAATGCAATGATCACTTAACTGTGAGAATATGAAAGTACATATAGTTATTAGTGTAGTGTAAGAGTAGAAACACAATGATCACAAAACTGCGTGAACAGAAAAACAACTAATCACTAGATTGTGAGAACTGGAAGGCAATGTTCGCTGAACTCCGAATTTGTGTAATGTTAGTGGCCTTATTTTGTGTTCTTTTAACCGAATTCTAGAAATTCTTTAGTGGTGTACACAGGGATGAAGTTAGCTTTTTTAATTTCCAAGATAAGTTTGGAATCAGTATTATTTTCCAGTTTACTAACATTAATTGGTAGAATTATAGTGATGAACATTTATTTTTGGAAGCAAAACTTATATAAGGCTACTGTTTTGCATGTGTATTTTGTGCATTATCAATCAGAAAAAACAACAACTATAAAGCAACCTGTGTATGTTTGTAGTCATAATTTAAATCCATGACGTATCAACGCAGATTAAAGGTAAATTTTGTAGTTTTCTCCCGAGGTTTCTTTATTTTCTAAACATACATAATGAAGTAATTAATAAAAGCCATAACATTAGATAGCTAGATAAATTTTTTGTTAGAGCATATTATGTTTAATTTATCTGCAATAATAATATTTAATATTTGATGAATTTAGAAACAGCTGCTTGGTAAATCATTCCCAGCATAACAATAATTCACCTTTTTTATGCTGGTGGAACGAATGACGGTCCCCGACTTAGAATTGCAGAGGCCTATCCTTCACCAAAGTCCCGACAATCAATATAGATGTCCAAGACCTAGTAATAAAAAGAGAGAGAGGCGTTACTCGTATGCTATATCACAAGAGCAGTGTATTGATCTAAGAGTATGGCAAGTCAAGCCTCAATGTCGCCAGTAGGCTAGTCACGTCATTTTTTTACTTGAGTTGTGGTTGTTTCAGTAAAGTGTCAACTTCGACTGTGTACCCTAACTAGTTCCGAGATATATAGCACTTAAGAGTGGGTGTAGTGCTGGAAGGTATTAACACTGTCTATAGGTACCCTGTTTATACACCACCTACTGAAATAAAATTCAAATGATGGTTATCGTGTATAACATAAGAAAGACGCATGTGAGAATGTTTATACTTTTGACATGGCACATGATTGGGGTTAAGATAAAAGTGGTTAGTGAGTTTACATAACTATTTTTATAATGCCATATCTGCTGAAGCAGTTTTTGGTTTGGATTAAGGTTAGTATTATTGTGTACTTCGAATTGAAAAACTTTAAAAGTTTTCTTTTCTTATTTAAACCTCTATTGTGGTATGTTGTTGTCTTATATTGAACCAGCAGCGAATAAGGGATTTTCTCCAAACTGGCAATGCTTACAATTTTCAAAGCCTTTCAAACACCAAAGTAAAAACTCCTACGTGTTAGTTCAAATTGACTGGAGTTTTGTTAGTATCGTCTCAGTGTCTATATGCAAATATACAAACAGGAAATTACATAAAAATTTCACCTAATTCATGAACACAGAAAGGAATTGACCTCAGAGCTTATACTTGATGACGAGCTGGCTTAACCACACAGCAGATATATTCGCCTGAGGCAATATATTTTAAGAGGGCGCAATATTTTATCTTTATTGTGACAATGAACCCCTTGTTAGTTTCTTGTGAATTAATTACATGGTGGCGACGCTTTGTCTCCTACTCTCCAACACAGGAGCAATACTAACCAATAGCTTTATGCTATAACCTTTAGCTGTCGTAGATGAAACAAAACAAAAACCGCATATAAAATTTACGTAACTTTACATTCAACTTCTTGAGAAAAGCCTCAACTGCCTTATTTACATAAAACCCAGAATGTACAACAATCTAACGGTCAGCTTTAAAAACAGGAACACCTAACCATACTTATTTAATCATAGGGTTAAGGAGTTAGAACGTAAAGGCATAGATTTGTTGATCCGCCCTTGCTTGTTGATCAGTTCTAAGAACTTAAGAGTGAAAGCAAAGAACATATGTGATAAGATGGCGAGTTACAATTACTTGCTTTTTAAGCCTAAAAGGAAGTGATTTATAAGTTGTGAAATACGCGCTGAAAATCTTGACCTGCGCGACACACAAGAATATGGCGAGTTAAATACATTAACTGAGAAGCGAAAATATAGGGCCCACCAGTATGTAAATGAGGTAGATGTTCTTATTTTCACGATGTAAATGGAGTAGATGATGTTATTGTTGAGGATCTAGATAGAATATATGATGCTATTCTTGAGGATATAGATGGAGCAGATGGTGTTATTCTTGAGGATGTAGATGCAGTAGATGAGGTTATTCTTCAAAGAATTTAATGATTTACTGGTTTCATGTGAGATTCTTAGCAAACGGCACGAACATAAGTAACTGGAAGTCAATACTGTTCGTATTATTTAATCTAGTAATTTGTAGATTATATGATGCTAGCTAGAGTACTCGTCTACCACCATATCCAGGCTATCTGCTGTACAGGCTAGTTATTTCATAGCTTGTCATTAATACACCAAAATGAGTTGCTTCCACTTGTATCTGGGATTGTCTGGTTTCCAAGAGCTGCCACCACTTGTATGTGTGTTTATCTGGTTTCCATGAGCCACCGCCACTTATCTCTGGGATTTTTTAGATTTCCAAGAGATACCATCACTTGTCTCTGGGTTTTTAGATTTCCAAGAGATGCCATCACTTGTTTTTGGGTTTGTCAGGTTTCCAAGAGATACCACCACTTGTCTCTGGGTTTGTCAGGTTTCCAAGAGATACCACCACTTGTCTCTGGGTTTGTCAGGTTTCCAAGAGATACCACCACTTGTCTCTGGGTTTGTCAGGTTTCCAAGAGATACCACCACTTGTCTCTGGGTTTGTCAGGTTTCCAAGAGCTGCCACCACTCGTCTCTGGGTTTGTCTGGTTTCCAAGAGCTACCACCACTCGTCTCTGGGTTTGTCTGGTTTCCAAGAGCTACCACCACTTGTCTCTGAGTTTGTCAGGTTTCCAAGAGCTACCACCACTTGTCTCTGGGTTTGTCAGGTTTCCAAGAGATACCACCACTCGTCTCTGGGTTTATCTGGTTTCAAAGAGCTGCCACCACTCGTCTCTGGGTTTGGCTGGTTTCCAGTAGTTACCACCACTCGTCTCTGGGTTTGTCTGGTTTCCAGTAGTTACCACCACTCGTCTCTGGGTTTGTCTGGTTTCCAAGAGCTACCACCACTTTTCTCTGGGTTTCTCTTGTTTTGTTACCGATATCCTAGTTTTATTTGTCTGCCCTTTATGTGCAAGATTTCTTACTTTTGGTCTATTTGTTTAAATATCACCCAAGGTAAAAGAAGATGTTGTTGCGGTGCGCTCATGTTTTTCTCTTAATCATATGTTAAAATTAGCATAATTGTTCTGTTCTAGAAAGAGAGATAGCTCAACCTTATTCATGTTTGGTTGAGTTTAACCTGAGTCACATCATCTTGTTGGGTTCATAGTAAATAGAAATAACATTTTTAGTTGGGTATATTTATTTGTTTTACAGTTCAATAACCAATTTTAATTGAGATGTGATTATATTTTTATGAATTTCAGAACTGCTTGGCCAAAGCTCTTTACGACAATATAGCGGAAGCACCAGACGAAATAGCCTTCCGGAAAGGAGCCGTGCTAACAGTGTTGGAGCAGAATACCCAGGGCCTAGAAGGATGGTGGTTATGCTCACTGCGGGGTCGACAGGGGATTGCTCCAGGAAACCGTTTACGCATACTCCCTGGAATGTACGATCCTTCCGGAATGGGTTTTGCAGGGGATGGTACTGCTATGCCGGAAAACGCATCTACTTTACCAGGAACATTTCCAGGCCCAGGGATAAGGCATTCCAGACGGCGTAGCTGGCATGTAAACCCTAATAAGGTAAGAATCATTCCTCTTGCTCTTTGTATATATCATTCTAAGTACATCAAAGTATTCTGTCACTTGATATGTTCCATATAAATATCAATGGATGTTCTATTTCATTTTCTTAGTGTATTGTTTGGTTACTTCCGACGTGAAACGAAAGAAGAGCGAGTGAAATATGTACACTTACAAAATTCAAGTACCTCAGTGAATTAATCATTATTTATGCTCATTTTTGTTGTTGTTGTGACGACCTGAACTTTGCACAAATGTATTGTAAGTTGAAATGCATTCACGAATTTTGATGATTTTTTTGGCTCTTTAAAGATTAGTAACTGTTTTACTTTGTTTCTTTTTTTTAAAGAAAAGTCGAAGCCCATTTCGCCAATGGTTTTTGTTGTTGTTATTATTAATTTGTAGATCATAGAAGAATACCATACTCTTGTCCTTTAATTATATACAAAATCAAGCGTTTTTTTTCGCTGTATTATGTATTGTAATGGCTTGATACAAAGAGGGCTTGTGAGGTCTGTAACTACGCCTGAGCACGGATGACTCGAATTTGTTTTGTGAAAAAAAAAAGTGTGTATATGTTGTTTTTTTATATTCTACTGTATAAAGACACTTTGTTTAGGTTCACAGTTATGCTATTTCAGTGTATAAAGCGGCTTTGTGTAGATTTATAATCATTGTTTTTACTGTATAGGCTAGCAACTGTGGTCCAATCTGTCGCGTGCCAGAAACATTCAAATTTTACTGGGTTAATATTTGTTGGCCATAATTGATGTAGCTTCTTCTTCATCGAGATTCGGTCCATGTTTTGGACCAGGGAGGACAAGGTTCAGCGTTGACCTATTCCTCCCTCTCAGGAATTGTTATATTGTATGCACCGTTACTGAATCCTAGGTAATAACACTTGTTACTTTGTTGTTGCATTACTCACAGTATGTTACATTTTTTCAATTGTCGGCATTTTTAATTAACCTACCCTTTTCGTGCCATGTCCAGTTCATTGGGTAATACTAACTCGTAAGTTTTCACTAGCTTCTCTTATGCATGATCGCAATATTAGACCGTGTTCACAATACAGTTCCACTTAGTAGTCATTACCAGATTACATTGTAAATTGGTGTTAAAATCATCGTAAAGATGAAATTAAGGTAAAAGAAAACGGGTTGTAGTATCGAAATACTATATACCTGATTCTCCTATAGTGTGTATATTTCACACATAAGCAAAATTAAAAAAATCCCAAGATCTGATAGGGAACGCAGCTTGTCAACATTACCCACCGCCAACTCTTGGACTACTCTTTATCAGTGAATAATGGGATTGGCTGTCACATCATTACACCCCACAGCTGAAATGACGAATACGTTGGGAAACGAGTTTCGATCCCGCGACCCGCAGATTGCGAGTCGAGCGCTCTAACCACTAGGCTGTGCCTGGCTCTTGTTGGAGTGGATTCAAACAAAACGTTACAAATGAAATATTAAATTACAATAAAAACAAAAAAAAACAGCCTCATTTATATTAAGATGGCACAGGCAAGAGGCTCAATGATTCTCATCTGATAGACCTAAACATTTAACACACTTTTATTCCTTTCTGTTCAGGCTTAACGTAGTTAAAAAGAAGTGTGCTGACTATTATCTAATCAAGTTTAAAACTGTTTAGTAATGTGACAAGTTTTAACATTTATCAGAAGCTTGTTAATTCTCTTCAGTTTTTGGGTAAAACTCGTGCATATAATACCAACAGTTAGTTGATATTAGATACTCTAATGTCCAATAAACAACAACAAACTTTGAATAAGACTCCTTTAGTAAGAAGACCAAGAATCCCTCGTTAACACCACTCTACTTAGAAGATTGAGAACATAACACCGTGTCAAGTTCCGGGTATTTTACTATTGCATTTAGATCGTTATAATTCAAGTATCGGATAGCACCAACAATTCTTGTGTATAAAACTATTGGATCAATAACAACAACAATCACTGTAATATTAACAATTCTTGAGTATATTTATTATATTAAGAATATCAACCAATTCTTGGGTAACACTACTGTAATATTAACAATTCTTGAGTGTATTTATTATATTAAGAATACCAACCAATTCTTGGGTAACACTACTGTAATATTAACAATTCTTCAGTGTATTTATTATATTAAGAATACCAACCAATTCTTGGGTAACACTACTGTAATATTAACAATTCTTCAGTGTATTTATTATATTAAGAATACCAACAAATTATTGGGTAACACTACTGTAATAATAACAATTCTTGAGTATATTTATTATATTAAGAATACTAACAAATTCTTGGGTAACACTACTGTAATAATAGCAATCCTTAAGAATATTTATTATATAAAGAACACCAAAAATTTGTGGGTAACACTACTGTAACAATAGCAACCTTCCAGTACATTTATTATATTAAGTACACCAAAAATTCTTGGGTAGCACTAGCAATCTTCAAATATATTTATTATGCAAAGAACACTAACAGTTTTTGGGTAACACTACTGTAACAATATCATCAGCAACTTCAGGTACTGTAACATTAACAATCTCTAAATATATTTATTATATTAAGAACACCAACAATTCTTGGGTAAAACTACTGTAACAATAAAATCAACAACTTTGGGTACTGTAACATTAACAATCTCTAAATATATTTATTATATTAAGAACACCAACAATTCTTGGGCAAAACTACTGTAACAATAAAATCAACAACTTCAGGTAGTGTAACATTAACAATCCTTAAATTTATTATATTAAGAACACCAATAATTCTAGTGTAACACTACTGTAATATTAAGAAATCTGGGGTAACACTACTGTACCAATAACATAAACAATCCCTGAGTAACAGTATTGTATCAATAACTCCAAACCTTATGTAGCACAACTGTATTTAGAACAACAATAATCCCTGTTTAATATCCTTCTGTTGTGAATAATCATAAGGCAAGCACTCCTTTTCTTATTGTTTTAGTAATCTTCCCAGAACTACACGACTACTGTGTCGTACTCTCATAATGTAAATATTCTGACTTGGTGTGCACCTATTTCGAAACTGCAGTTTATTGCCTAGTCACAACCGTATTTCTCGTGTACATAAAAATAATAAAATCAATTGTGCGCGCATTTCTCTCGTAACGATAACCGACAACAATATATTACTTCTCTACTATTAAGAAGTTACATTCGTGTGTACTTACTTTTTCTATGACGTAAGCCAACCCTAAATTGGCGTGTGTAATGCTAACTAGGTTTTGTGTATCTCACGCAACGGTAGGGTATTGCAGTTGGTGAACTACTGTTGTGTGTACGGGCGAAAATATCGTTAACTGATGAAACAGTGCATTCGAATATAAATATAACTAGAAAGATAATAAAAGTATACTTATACTGTTTCCTATGTTGATTTTTAGTTTCGCTCTAAGTAGATAGTTTGCTGTAACCAGGAGTTACTATTAATTGTAATGAGTTTTATATATATACACACTTAGTTTGCCGTCTAACCGTACGCTTGTCAACACTGTGTGTGCATTTCTACTTTAACCTTCGTTGACCCTGTGCGACTGTTGTTTGTCTCTGTCGTAGCTATGGTTGATGCACCGCCACCCTCTTAACGTAAGCGACTGCAGATCGATGAACGTCATACAGACCTACGTCTGTAAGCGGACACTTACTACAATAGAAGCAAGCATACTTGTTAGTCTCAGTGATGCTTTGAACTCCCAGTAGGTGGCTGAATTTGATATGTTAAACATTGAAAGTTTGGAAGCTATTTTAATTCTCATAATAATCCAATAGCAGTCCAGATCTCAGACAAACCGACATTTAGGGTTAAGAGCTTTTCACTTGTCTTGTACGTCGTTAAAACAGTGAGATAAAGAGTAGTGTTTGTAGAGGATGCTGGCATAACATACAAGAGAGATTTTTATAAATGTGATGAAATGAATGCATTCTATAAATATTCTAAACAAGTAATACTCTTAGCATATATTATCCACGTCATTTTAGGCTTTACAGTTAAAGCTTAAGGTGTGGGAAATTGTGGAGTTAACGTGGGTTGTGAGGTGATAAAAGACAGGGAACTCAAGTAAGCTTAACCAGAAAGTTGGGGTTGATAAGGTCATGACACATTATAACTATTATGCCATCTGGTGTTTGTCTATATAAATTATAGGGGTTAACAAATGCAATGTAATTTTTTGTCTGCACATATCCCCCGCTTTACTTTTCTGTTTGTACTCTAGATAGCCTTCACGAAAAATGGTCAGTGTTTGAAAAAACAAACACAAAACTTTGTGTTTTAGTCTTTAACAGCGGCATCTTGCGGTGAAAAGTAAAACTATATAGCCTTTCATTTAACATTTAATTGTACTCTTACACTAGTAATTAACTAGTTTAAACTTGTATACTTTTCTGATCTAAACAGAAAAAAGTCCTTAGTTATAAACTGTCTGTCATTGAAACATTGACTTCAAGGAAAGGCATGTACTTCCGTTTGTCCGTCTATTTGATCCTGGTATATTTACTCGTAAGGTGGGATGCTTTCCCGGTATGTTTTACTTTTACTTAATAGTGAACCTTATTGTATTTGACAATTCTGTTAGTTTCTGTGGTTTTGCACTGTCATACTGATCTATGATAAAGTTCAAACTTCAGATTCATTCAGTGTTATCAGTTTTCAGCAATCGAATCCCGTCACTTTCAGTCGTGGGGACGTTATAATGTGACGGTCAATCCCACTGTTCGTTGGAAAAGAATAGTCCAAGTATTAGAGGTGGGTGATGTTGACTAGCTGCCATCCCTCTAGTCTATCACTTCTAAATTAGGGATGATTTGTGCAAACAGCCAGCCCTCGAGTAGTTTTGCGCGAAATTCAGACAAACAAATAAAACCTATTATAACCAGGACACTTTACAAATCGTTTCCTCACTAACTCTGTCGCTGTTTATATAACCTGTTTTTTATGCTTATGT